GACAAATGAATGGAAACATTGGTATAAAAATGATAGCGCTGGTTTCTTTTTTAAAACGTTGGTCCCAGAAACCCGACTCCACCCCTGGGTACAATGAAAGGAAGTAAGGCATTTTTCTCAACAATAATGAGAATACGGTCCAATCATAGCATGTGTACCTAAATAGAATTGGTTTAAGACCCTCCCCTAATTGTGAGACGTGTGATGAGCCGGAAACAATGCAACATATTGTATTGCATTGCCCGAAACATGAAAGTCCGAGAAATATGATGCTAAATTGTATATATAGATGTACGGAAGTAGAAAAGCCATTCAATTTTAATTCCTTAATAGCATCAGAAAAAGAAATAGTTTTTAAAATATTGTATAAATTTCTAAAAGAAGCGAGTGTTGAAGCATAAAACAAAGGAATCCTCATAGTAATCAGTAATTCTATAGTAAATTGGCTTATGCAAATAAAGGCAAGGCCTTTAAAAAAAAGAAAAAAAAATTTCAACAATACCCCCGTCTATATTATCCTGAAAGGATGATCTGGCCGAACCATTTCCAACGTTTTTTCTCAACGTCGGCTCCTTTCACCTCAAAGAAGCCGACTTCTCATATAAAAATGTCTTTCTGTACCGACTTTCTTCCCCACCCTCCAACGTATATAAACGAAAAAGAGCAATGTCTCACTGGCACACTCAACACGATACACAAGAATGGCACAATTACGCAGAAAACAAACACTTTGAGTGAGTAGAAATACTTTGATTGAGTCTACAATTTCTAGCATTGTATAAATTCACTTTTTCTACATCCTACATGTATTTGTTAAATGTAAACAATGTTTGTAAATCCCAGGCCCGAACATTTGCACGATAAAGAAAATGTTTTTCTAAACCTACATCACACCAGATCGCATCTCACGATCTCCGAATAGTTATGTTTTATCTAGAAAAGCAATCAATCATCAATGACTGATTTATACTGAGAGGCGCAATTGAAAATCAATCTCTATTCAAGCAAATTTTGCGGTTAGTGGATAACATTTCTCCTGGGATTTGAAAAGTTCAACTTCATTTTGATTGGCAGTTGTTCATATTTACATTCAAGCAAGTTCTTCAGAAAAATTCTATACGATCTTCTCGTACATAAGACAAGGCAATAGTTTTTTTTTTAAAGGAAAATACCAGAGGGTTAGAATCGTTGTATACTCGAGCAAATTGGAATGGTCAACAACCCTTCTAAAGTTGCCGTACTTCTCAAGGAAAGACGATTGAAGAGGCCCCGCGGTCGTTAAGGTGCCCTTACACTATCAAATGCTTGAACCTCCGATTGATGGGAGCTTCAAGCGTGCTTCAATCAACCCTTCAATCTTTCGGTCAAAACTCCCTCGACCCTCATCAGCGGAAGCCGTGAAGTGGAGCAGTGCGTTTCGCTGTTTGATTTTTTGTTTTGTTTCGGTGCTGAATGGTTTCAAATACAGATTTGGGCTTCCTAGTCTTAACATTGGTTGCCCTGAAGCAGAAAAAACAGCAAAAGATAAAACGACGGTGGGCTAAGGGTACAAACTGAGAAACTGCTTCATTCAAGAACATCTACTAAACTTTCTGTGTGAATCGGAACCAGAGGACTACAGGAACTTTTTGAGAATGGACCAAGAAAGTTTTGATTATCTACTGGAGTGGAGACGCCATGACTTCCACCGAGTGAGTGACGCAATGCTTGATGAAAATTGCCCTACACTATCAAGCCGCTTGATCATCTGCTTGAGTCATTCAAACTTCCTATCAATCACCATCAATGCTTGCTTCAAGCGTCAATCAGGTTTGTACACTATCAATCACGCTTGATACAATCGATTTACTCAAGCATTTGATCAAGCCGCTTGTTAGTGTAGGGGCACCTTTACAATTTCATCAATCGACGTGCCGTTCGCAAGCTCACGTTTGTTTTCTTTTTAAAAATCATTTAACACAGGAAAACTCTCCACTCTTCCTTCTCAAGATTCAACACAAAACTGGATTTTTCTTTTGAAGGCGTGAACTTTGTCATTAGCATCGAAAGTTGTGATACTCTTCCCTTGCAAAGAAAGACTCAATGCATTCATTTTAATTGAAATATCTGATTTTTCAGTACACATTATTGTTAATTTTTATTTGTTCATTCTACGTTAATATTTGTAATTATTAATTTTTCTGGAATTCGCCGCAGACCACAGTTTGAGAAGCCATGATGTAGGACGATGATGATACTGGAAGTGGGGGGTTTGGTATGCCATAATCATTGGAGTTGGTGGCTTATTAAACTTCTAGTTATTTAGTTCAATTCAACATTTGGGATACAATTAATTAAGGTTTTTAGTTGAGATGAAAAAAAGTTAATGGCGCGAGAGGGATTCGAACCCACGACCTTCGGCTAGATACGGGTTGAGATGGGGAGTTGATGTCCGAGTGGATCGAGGTCACGATAGCTCAGGTGGTAGAGCAGCGGTGTATCTTGCCGAAGGTCGTGGGTTCGAATCCCTCTCGTGCCATTAACTTTTTTTCATCTCAACTAAAAACCTTAATTAATTGTAAAGTATTAATTGGTCAAGAGGACCACGAAATTAGTGAATTTGGGATTCAGTTGTAACCAACGGTAATTGCACTAAGTACTCAATACCCACCATGACAATTAGCTCAGTAGTGACCGGCTTTGTCTGTCACACCACGATATATCGTTAATCTGCAAAGTTCTAACAAGAGTTACTTTACTACGTAGAATTTTTTAAATAAAAATTGGTTCAGATTATTTTGATGTTTTTGGTTTAAAATTAAACATAGAAGTCGCGAATAAACAAATCAATATATGAAAGTATTAATGTGCCATGTATATGCAAAAATTATAAGAGGTCGAGCCTTCTGGAATTGAATTGGGCGAGTGAAACGTCATTTTCCAAGGGAATCGATGAAATTATTGCATGATTCCGCCCATTTGTCGGAAAACGTTCGGTGTAGAGTTGTGGAAAGCGCCTTTTTCACACAGTGTAAAAAAGATTTATTATCTCCGAATGTATGATGTTTAGGGAGGGGAAGTGATCAACAACAAATGTGCGGTGTCGTCTGTTCGAGGTTATTGATTCGGGGATGTGGTGAAAAGGATTAGAAAGGATCGATATGTAGCTTCTAAAAAAAGGAAGGATACACGATACAGTCCCACGAGGAAAACGTTTTGTAGTACAATTGAGAAAGTACAAATAGTCAAGATCTTTTATAACTTGGATATAATGAAGAGACAAGAAGGCAGATGAAAATGATTGGAACCGACCGAACCATAGGTTCATTACCAAGCAGATCTCAGAAAAAGCTCACAAGAGAAATATATTATCATTATATCATTACAATTTCGATAATGGTAGATATGAAAACAGATGGCTCAATGTGTGGTGATTAGTGATCGTTAGTCGATGATTTTTCAGAAATCGTGAGATGCGGTCTGGTGTGATGTAGGTTTCAGAAAAACATTCCCTTTATCGCGCCAACGTTTCGATCTTTATTGAGATCATCTTCAGGGCTCAAAGTTTTTGTTTTCTTGCGTGTCGTGTTGCGAGTACGAATGGCACTCACAACATTTTTATTTTCAATTCAGAACAAAATGCTGTGATAGTCACTAGGTATAACCATCTAAGCTGCACTCACTTATAGTGGGCTTAGGAGAAACCACCGTAATTCTTGTGAGTCAGTTTGGCGCATCTAAAAGTTTCGTTGAGATCATTCTTGACAAAATAAAAAATAAAAATAAAAAAACCAAGAAGACAGTTGGAGATTTCGTGGTAACCAATGGTAATTGCTCTAATTCCTCAATATTCACCACCACAAAGAGCCTTACAGTGACCAGATTTTTGCATCTGTCCACACCATGGTATATAATCAAACTGCAAGATTAAACCTAATTTAGTCATAAAAGTCATAAACATGTTTTTGTCGTGGGGGTGAAAGGTTAGAACAAGGTTAAATTTGCTACTCGTTCGTCAATGTTGTCAAATATCTTCGAATTGCGCATAATTACATTTTTTTATTGCTAACTTCCTGTGATTCAAGCAATAAAATCAAATCCATTTGATTTATCATTATAATTAGTTTAATTTTTTCTGTGTATTATTTACCTGGAAAATGCCGAATCTCTGATCCACTCTGTTTACTTTATTTATCGTGTAGTTGCTCGTACGTTCAGCGAGACACGCCCCTTGAGAAAAAAGAAAGCAAAAAATAAAACTGCAACATTATGGTTTGATGTATTGTTTCATGATATTAAATTTTTTATTTAGATATTTACATTTTGTCAAATAGCCTTAAATATGTATATGACATTAGGCTCAAAATGCATAGGCAATAAAATCGATCATGGGTTCGAATCCCGCTCGTGACACTAACTTTTTTATCTCAATTTAAAGCCTTAATTAATTTTTAAATAAAGTTATTCCGGTTTTTGGATAAATTTTCTTCCTAACTATCATAAATAAATAATTTGTATAAAAAGGCATGCATTTTTCATCACGTTTAATTTGATTTATATTAAAATAAGAATTGTAATTGATATAACGACAAAATTACATATACATAGTTTGAAAAAATCTACAAAATATATGAATGTGGGCGTTCTTACGCTACTCGACCAAAATGGTGGAATTTTATGAGCAAAACTGTGTAATAAATTGTTAGTTTAATTCATTATATCAAAAAATGGTATTCCGGTGTTTTGATCAATTTTCTACGAAGCCATTAAAATTCATTTTTTTTTTGGTTTATATTAAAATAAGTATGTTGTAATTAATATAACGACAATAATACACCTAGTTTGAATAAAAATATGAGTGCCCGGTTCTTTTATCTTCGACTGTACTCGATGCGACCAGACGAAAATGTGGACAGTGGGGATCGCAGAGCGAAGAGTAGGGTGGGTAGCGTTGCAGAGCATCGGGCAGATGTGCACTGAGGTAATACAACCTTATAAAAAATTGGACTTCGGATTTGCGGCGAGTAGCATCGGGTAGCGTCGCTTTAGTCAAGTCCCAGTTCTTTCCCAATCGGTAGATACTGTAGTTCTTTAAACCTTACGTTTTGATCCAGGAGACTAACACCGAAGATAGTAAAATGACGTTTTGTTAACTTTCGTTCAGTACGTTTCGTGATATGCTAGAAGGAGAATCAAATAGCTTGACATACATTTTGCGACTTGTTCAAGTCCAAGGGCAAGGGATCGTCGAGACGCGAGAAAGGCGTAACCGCCTCTTTAGCGATATTAAACATATGACAGGGTTTTAATATTAAGCTCATCTGCATGTGGAAGCCGTCGGGGAGGTGAAACGTTTGCACGCTTTACAGCCTTGCACGGTCGGAAAGCTGTCTATCTCCCGTTTGACATCTCACGTTAACTCAAATCTGAAACGGTTCGTGGACGCCCTTTATATACATTGTGTTTTCGGGATGGCCAATAGTACTGAAGGAAATAGGGAAGACCAAGCTCAGATCGGTGGAGGCGTGTTTAAAATTGTTAAAAAGTTACGCAGTGAGTATTCATTTTGGAAATTTATTACGATCCCGGTATGACATATACAAGAACACACTTAAAACCACTTAAGCCATGCGTATTCGGGTCGAACACGTAAACATGCGACACACTATGCACATTCCACGTGACATGCATGTCTCAGTCACACTGTCGTTTCTCCTGACGTCTTTTTTTCACATATTAACAACACGATATGAAAACTACTCATAATTGAGGTTCTTTCGGCTCAATTGTTATTATAATAGTTGGAATGGTTATATAGATATACTTTACATTTATACAAATAGTCAATATTATGAGAAAAACTGTTAGCATACCTCTTGAAGGTTCGTCTTGAAGGTTATTGGACATATACTGCAGCTTGGAATTTTATTTTTTAACAAAACGTTTTCGACTTCATGACATGCGTCCTCTTCAGTGTTAATTTACAATTTTCTATCCTATAAAAACCTTTTTATTTTCATTGGTTTTTAATCTTAAATATGGTATTAATAAAATTACATGTTCATACCAGTGCACTTTCCATCAATACGTAATCTTTTATTCATTTTTCTAATCTATTAATCTTATCAATCATGACCTCACTACTTTTTGATTATATTTTTATATACGTCTATAATATTATTATATTGTCCAAAACTTTTGTAAAAATCTTTTTGCCAATTTACATCATTATTATTTTCTTATATTTCGACCTCAACAGTTAATCTTATGATTCTTCCTTCTTGTAGGTGGGATAATAGGTCATCTCAAAAAACCACAACCAGTTTTTATCCACAACGTTTCGGATTTCTTTTAATCATTCCTCAGGTAACAAACGTTTTAATGTTCTAGTCTGAATAAGTACCACACTGGCTCTTTTTTAAAATAAATTGTTATAAAATATTAATGACTGACGACCACTTTTTTAACCATTGCGTTAACTCACCTGAGGAAGGATGAAAATAAATCCGAAACGTTGTAGATAAAAACTGGTTGTGGTTTTTTGAGATGACCTATTATCCCACCTTCAAGAAGGAAGAATCATAAGATTATTATTATTATTAGACACAAGTTTTCGAAAACGTCTAACGGCCTCTCGGAAATCTTCAGCACTAATTTAAGTTCAAAAATTGGAATTAAGGAAAAAAAGATGAAAAGTAAACAGTTTATTGCTTCAGAATTCAAACGAGAATGAATGAATATTTTAAATTCCGTAAAAAGTAAACATTGAAAAATCATTTATCCTTGTTTTGGATTAAGGATTAAGTGTAACTCTAATTGATATTCACAATTTAAAACATAGCATAAACAAATATTTATCGATAAAAACAATGAGACAAATGAAGGGCAGAATTTTCTTTTATCGAGAAAATTAAAAAAAATCAATTGGGTGGAATTTTTTGTCTGTCAGTGTATGAAAAAAACAGAAACGTGAAATGATTGTGACGCAAAAATTTGTAATCTATCATAGGGAAGATTAAAATAACCGGCTTTAGTTCAGCGTTACTGAATTGAGAAGAAACCACTCACTGGTAGGTACAGCTTGTGCTGGAACCTCATCAATGCCGGTTCTGATACATCCTTGTCACTGTCCAATTATTGCGAACTGCTTCAGTAGTTGTACTTTTGGAGATGGTGTATCTAAAGAAACACAGGAAATCTTGGAAAGTCACAACAGGGGGTTGATGCATGATAGGTCCATGGACGAAAATGTTGATTTGCTCAATATCCCAAGTCATAAGAAGAAGAAGAGATTGACACCAACCTATCAATTTCACCGAAGCAATCTTCAGGGATTCAACCTAAAGATTTCGCCGAATACCTTTAACTCAATAAACATGCCCACCAATAAGTTAACCTATCCTACCATATGGGCATGTATACTATATTTTACCTTCACTGTGTTCGCCAGCAGCCAAATACAAAATGGCGACGACGAACACCACTGAAGATAGGAGATATAAATTATAAAAGAAGGAAAGGGTGTTAAATGTTTCGGGACCATCAACATTTCCGATTGAATAAAGGATAAATGAACGTAAAACAAGAATAATGAAGGGAATTAACTCACTGCGTAGTAAGATCGCCGAGTGAAGCACGTGGCGGTCTACTCTGCCTACAAGATCGGTAGGCGATATGCAGATAATGCAGCGACCTTGGGCGAAGACTAGGCCAGTGCACCGGCCTGACTGCAGTAGCGGCGATGATGAAATCTAGTGGCGATGGCAGTGATGCAATGAAAGGAAGTTTCTCGGAGATGATGATGAGAGAGAAGGGTGGTACTTAGTATAAGGATGAAGAGGAGCGAGGGATGAATGATCTCAAGGGAATCAACGGAGATGTGGATATTAAAGGGAAATGGCGATGATAAATTTGGGACCATACCGTCGGGAGATGGGATGCACGCGGAGTTGAAAATCGTATGGCGATTTGAAAGTGGAATCCTTATTTTTTGTTTTTTGTTTTTGCTGTTTTTCGGTGTAAACCTTTTACAGCGTTTGCTTTTATTTTATTTTTTTTATTTATCACATTATTTGTTTTAATAAATTTCTAAATTAATAATTTTTTTTCAACTACAACAGGTCTCCTTACACAGATTTTTAGCCGTTATAATTATAATTATAATCTAACGTTTCCGGGATGGACCGCTGGGCGGCGATCCGGTTTTACAGGGATTTTTTTCCCTGAGAGGTTTTATAACATTTTTAAAGAGAATTTTTGGCGGTTAGAACATTTTTAAACAATATAAATAGACTATTTTGACTAGTAATCAAAACATGAGCACAATGAAACAATTAAATAAAAAGATTGTTAAATAGATATTTCTAGCTTAAATAAACCCGTTAGAACTATATACCTTTATAAATCTAAACAAACATTTCATATAAATTATTTAAATATATACATTATAACTTAGACTAGATATTTCATATAAGTAATTTAATTGTATACTCTTATAAACATGAGAAATGAAAACAAAATAAATAACTTAATTTACTAAAACATGCTAGCTTAAATAACCTTAACGGACTATATACGTTTATAACTTTAAATATAACTTCTCAAATATATAATTTAACTATGTACATATATATATAACATAAAAAACAAGACATTTCATTTAAATAATTTGATTATATACATACACAGTTATTAATAAAATGATAATATTGACTAAGAAATTAACATAGTGATCATAAAAACATATGAATAACAAACTTAATTAAAAAATATTACTAGTATTAAGTAATACTACCAATTTAAATACATGATTAAACCATATACATTTATTTTTAAACTACCATTTTAAATAAATTATTTAACTATATACTTTCATAATTTACACAATCAGTTCAAATAAATAGTTCACTAAGAGTAATTAAATTTGTATATTGAAGTTCTTTATTTGCATACATAAAATTAAAAGCCCTTGTGGGAATTTTTTATTATCGATGATTTTCATTTTGATTTTGTGAATTGTGTTTAGTTTTTTTTTTCATAGACATACTTTATAAACTCTTTATAATTGTGTTTATTCTTTGTCAGTTCTACCGATTTACTTTCATCATCTATTTTTGTTTTTATTTCCATTTCTAGTATTATTCTTTTATGGTTATAAATTTCGCATTTCGTCACAGTATGCTCAGCACTTTTTATTTCCCCACATTGGCATAAATTGGTGTTTTTTAACTTGTAATTATATAAATATTTATTAAATTCTCCATGCCCTATTAAAAACTGGGTAGTAATATAATTTGGTTGAATAAAATTCCCGTTTTTGATTCTTGATTTAATGCATGGCAAGAATTTATAAGCAGTTCGCCTTTTTATGCTTGCACTCCATCTTGCTTGCCATTTTGTTATAATTTCGTTTTGTAATTCTTTAATTTTTTCACTATAATTATTGCATGCTGTTTTCCTTAATTTGTGAATTGAAACTGGAATCCGCGAAGATTCGTGATGCGATGAAAGTTTAAGAAAACGGCGATCTTATGCGGTGGTTAATTAGTATTGTGAACACCTAGGGTCGATAAGGCGATTTGAGGTGTGTTCACTTCGAGAGCTGGCGGAGAAGACATCCAAAAAGGCTGGACGGGACGGGTTTTTGACGAAAAAGGAGGGAAGCGTGTTGTGATTGGTGGATTTTGAGAAGAGGGGTCGTTGATAGAGGGGTACAGTGTACGTCACAAATCGAACACATTGTGATCATGATATGTTGTGTTTGTTTAATTAGCTATAAGAAATTAGAAAGATATGTACTCTTAAATTTTATGAAAAATAATGTTGATATAGAAAGTGAAGTAAATTTAGTACCCCAGGGGAGGAGTTATGTGAAATTATCTGTTTACAACGCTTAGATGAAGGTGTCATGCCTAGTGTTGTAGTCAGCACCCCTCCCATGAGACCTACTTATTTAATTCTGTGTTTTTAATTATGATTCCTTGCCTAGATCTTGACGAGAGTACATCGTTAAATTAGGTTAAACTTATTCTTGTACCTTCAAATATTTTTTTTTTTTTAAGGAATCCTCAGTTGTTTATTTAACTTTATATATATATTATGATACATTTTTTTAAATTATTATTTTTACGCCAACTCACGTGATTCTTTTTTTTTGTGTGTTTTACATTTTACAAGACCAAGGACCAGAAGGGAATGCCCTTGTGGCTTTGGCTCTTTTTAGTTTTTCTTTCTTCCTTCCTTCCTTGCGCCATTGCCTCTAAATCTAATTACGGCGTGGGTAGGCGTGTATGGACGGTAAAATTAAAAAACTTATTTATGAACTAAACGTACGTCCATTTATAACTTATGGTGCTCCCAATCGGGGAAATATTCTAAAACCGATTTTGCTAGGCTCCAGGTAGTTCAAAATGCTGCTCTAAGAATTATTGGAGGGTTTCCACGTTGTGCTCCGACAGACTGTGGCATGTAAATACCTATTTAATTAACCCACATGTATAAAGTAATAATAAATTTTTACAATTCATGCATTAAAAGCCCATTTGTACAAATAATTACAATTAATTAGGTTTTTAGTTGAGATAAAAAAGTCAATGGCACGAGCGGGATTCGAACCCACGATCTTCGGCTAGATACGCCGCTGCTCTACCACTTGAGTTGAAAAATGGCAAAAAGGAGGGAAAACTCATAAGGTGGGGTTGAGATAGGAAGTTGGTGTCCGAGTGGATCGAGGTCACGATAACTCAAATACCCCGGTTAAAGATTGAACTAAATTAAAAAATCACAATTAATTAAGGTTTTTAGTTGCGATAAAAAAGTCAATGGCACGTGCGGGATCCGAACCCACGATCTTCGGCTAGATACGCCGCTGCTCTACCACTTGAGCTATCGTGACCTCGATCCGCTCGGACATTAACTTCCCATCTCAACCGCACTTTTTGAGTTTTCCCTCCATTTTGCCATTTTTCAACTGCTTTTTTATTTTTATCTCAACTAAAAACCTTAATTAATTGTGATATATTGTGTGGTCAGTCCCCATTTCTAATAATGGGTGTCTGATTTTATTGATTATGGTTGTATGCCCGAATTGTTTGGTTCCTTTCCAATTTAATTGTTTTTGGAGCCTAAATGAGCTTTTCCTAGCCTCTCCTTGTATGAATATTTCAAGTGGAGGTAGGTTTAGCAAGGTTCCTAATGAGTTTGTAGGGGTTGTTCTCATCGCCCCTGTGATACATAGGTTTGCTAATCTTTGTAAGCTGCCTAATGTTTGGGTGGCTACTTTTTGTTGAGCTTTGCTCCACACTAAAATAGGAAGATTAATTACATTATTTTATATTTTGAACGTTCTGACTGAGCCAAGGGACCTTTTATACTACTTTTGCAGTGCATAAACAGAATGCAAATATGAACAAGTGCGCTTTCGTTTTTTATTAATATTGAGGAAAAGTTAATAATCCATTGGAAGTTGCCGACTTTTTTTTAGAGGTTTTTAAAACAGGACGAACTATTCTATTAATCACCCTCACTCTACGGTACAGAAGGTGTAACTAAAGAAAATCTTAGCATTTCACAACAGGGTTGATGCATGATAAGTCGAGGGACGAAAATGTGCATGGATTTTCTCAATATCCTAAGTCATAAGAAGAAGAAGAGACAAACACATTTTAAGTGAAGGAAGAGGACTGGAATATCTATAAATAGATCCATGTAGCATTTTAAAAAGGTTTTAAGTGTAAAAATTTTTTGTGTCAAGTCCGCAATTAGGAAATTGAAGAAGAATTCAGAACAAATTGTACAAACTAATTATTATTTCATGTTACATTCATAACTCATAAGTTCTAAGAAAGAATATAAGATTAAGAGCTTCACGACGTTGACGACAACACAACAATAAGAAAACAAATGAAAAATATAACACAGAAGACACAGAAATTGTGAATAAATACCATAACTAAACAAAAAAATCTTGACGTCTTGAAAAATTGACAACAGGGTGACACAGAACACCGAGTGAACATGAACTCACCGCTAAACAGAACTCAAAAAGAAAAAGTACAAAAAATACAAAAGAAACAAAACACGAAGATTCGAATCATCAAAGGCCCAATAATGAAGTGAAAGATATTCACGAAAATGAACGAAGCATTTATACTTTATTTTTCTGTGACCTTTACAGATGACGCAGCAAAAATGGCAGATGGGTATGTTGTGTTTGTAATGAAAATATATTTTTCTTAATTATTAAGTATAGAGCGGTATTAGGTGATATTTCCAATGTTCAATAAGAATTAACTTTTTCCGTTTTGCAGATCGGGTTCTCTATGCCAGGCAGCAAAGATCGTCGAAAGCAGCTGTCGTCGGAGGTGACCCGATTTCCGAAGAAATGGCCCTGGTACGGTTAAAATAAATAAAGTCTTGAATGGATGAAATCAATGTAGTGTATTTTTAAGCTATTGCGTTCCGTGGTTTTCGGCACAGCCGTTGCCCCTCCGAGAGGAGAATGGCTGAGGACTGGCATTCTGGTGATAGAAGACGAAAAAGAGATTCCTTACCTGCTCAAAGGTCCGAAGAACACGACAAGAGGCCTTCTCACTGTATTGCAGGCGGAAATTATTAAGTATATCCTCTTCGATAATCCGAACATCAAGAAAGGCGAACCAGCTGAGAGGTACGGAATGTTCTTTTTTGTAAATTTGTATGAAATCTGTGACTGCATCTAGAGATGGCAAAAATTAATTTAAAAAAAAGATTCCTCTCCGTGGCCATTTCATTTGTCGCCGAGAATCAAATTGATTACACGACATTTGAAAAATGGCAAAAAGGAGGGAAAATTAAAAAGGTGGGGTTGAGATGGGAAGTTGGTGTCCGAGTGGATCGAGGTCACGATAGCTCAAGTGGTAGAGCAGCAGCGTATCAAGCCGAAGATCGTGGGTTCGAATCCCGCTCGTGCCATTGACTTTTTTATCTCGACTAAAAACCTTAATTAATTGTATGATATTAATTGGTCAAGCGGACCACGAAACTAGTGAATTTAATTTTAAAAAACCGTAATACGCCATGAAGATTGGAAAAGGAAATCAGCCAAGACTTAAACTAGTACATTGAGAGGGGGGAAAGTGGCAACCCTAGTTTTTAGTAAATACTTACGATCGTTATAATTTTTTTTTTTGCTGTTTAATGGACATTTTAAAAGAAAACTATGAGATATAGATAAATAAAAAATTAAACTGAGTAAAACAATTTTACCAAAAATGGAAACAACCAAGAAACTATTCAATTCCGTACGGAGCATTTGCTCCTCTTGCGTTGATCACCCCATGCATTCCACTTGGCATCGATTTTATGAGATTTTGAATATAGGACTGTGTTCATACTACAACAGCGCCATTTTTAATTCCTGCAAATTCTCTGGTATCACTGGGCATCTTTTTACTATCTTTGTTAGCTCGTCCCATGGTGTTCGATGGAGGTTAAGTCGGGACTACATCCTGGCCATTTCAAACATTGAATTGAAGTCCAAGTATTCACCAACGATCCTTGTGTGTTGGGCCTTGCCATGATAAAAATAAAACCGTTGGCAAATTAGTGGCGTGTAAGGAACAACTTCTTCTGATTACAGCCACCTGTTATGGAACCGTCGATGAAGGTCAACTTGGTTCGATATTCCGAAATGCCTGCCAAAACCATAACACCACCACCTCCATCGCTTCACTGGAGAGAAAATATTGCGAAGATGTATCGCTCTCCTGTTCTTCTCCAAACCCTCTCTCGGCCAGTGACGTCAAACAAAACTGAATCATCCGAAAACAAGATTTTAGTCCAATCTTGCTCAGACCAATTGATGTGAGTTCTGATAGCTAATAACCGAGCTGTTCTGTGCCCTGTCAGAAGTTTTGGATCAGTGGCAGGCCTTCTCGCACGTGATCCAGTTTCTGAAAGCATTACAGTGTGTAAACTGACATTTCTAACTTGCTGAAGTCGTTGCTTGATCTCAACAGTGGTAGAATGTCAATTACGATGCACGATGGCGACCTGATTTGTGCCTTCTTGAGAAACCTCCTGTATCTTGGAACCCCCCCCCCAGGGAGTTGTAGCCTATTCAATCTGGAACTACAGCGACGACGGTGGTATAATATGGTTGAGGCTCGAGACCCTGAAAAGGTCGACTTCGTGTCCTCATCCACGTCCCTTTCTCAATCCAGGTTCCTTCGTTCTATCCTGTGACCCCTCCCAACCATTGGTTACAAGGGGGGTGCCCGGACGCAAAATAATGGTGTAGCCCAGAGGGCGTGGCAACCTCTTTAAAGCACAAGCTGTAATCGTGTCGGCCTCGGGTCGGCATGGAGGCGGGTGCCTTATCAGAGACACACGAGGGTTGGGGTACCAGATCCTGTCTGCATAGACGGGGGAGGGTGCATAACCATCTGAACTACGGGGTAACAGAAATGTTCCAAAATTCAGCCCCTGTTACAATGGGAATGGATTCGTAGTGGCACATGGTGACGCCCCTAGTGGGAACTTAGAGAAGAGGCTGTCTCCTACCTGTGACCTTGGCACGAAACTTGCGTATGACCACCGTTATACACCCGGCCTCACGGGGGACGGCGGATCGGACGGCAGCGTATAAGCGTTGAGGAATGCGTGAGTAGCGGATGGGAACGGGTAGTGAATCGGTTGCTCCTACTCGAGTATGCTTTGCACGTAGGTGTAGGCTGAGCTCGATTGGAGGCTTTTACCGTAGACGGTACTCCTCTAGGGGGTGCTTAGCAATTCCACTTTAAACTAAACCGCGGCCGGAGCGGATCCGATAGTTTCTACGCTGGGGAAGCCCCAATACTTTGGAAGGTAGAGTGGCCTTCTCTACCAAGGGAGTGCGCGGAAGACCAGGCTGATGTATTTCGGCTTAAGTAGCATAAAATATCTGATGCTCAATGCAGGCCCGGCCACTTGGAATGGACAAGCGGGGAGCGAGGTTGTCTTGGCCCTTTGTGGCCGAGCTGCCTCTACACCAATGCTGCGGCAGTAACACAATCCTGTCGTATGCGGAGGTGCGTCAGCTCTCATCTTGAGAAACAAAACGTCCTATAAGGCCGAATAAGCTAGGGCAGACGTTAAAGATCCTCATTGTCCTTTTTAGGACGTCCGAGTATACGGGAAAGACTGTATCTTGGAAGACCCTTCGGAAATTTGTTCTGGAAATGTTAAGAACCCTGACCACATAGCTTGAATTCTTCCATCTTGCAAAACTGCTATGATTCTAGCCTTTGCCTGCCTGTCCCGAAGTTTGATCCACAAGGCAGGGATAATTTCGACAATTACTCCAATTTTAATGAAGTATGAAATTTCACAGAAGGATTTGCATCTGATTGGTATAATTGAGGTACCATCTTTGGCTGGTCACTATCACCCTTACATTTTAACCTCAGCTATCAGCCCTAATACTACTCAGGGGGCGGACAGTTCTCTACCCACCCCTTAATTATCTCCCAAACTCGAGTGCCCAGTTTGGTTGTACCAGCCTTGAACCAAATAGAGTTAGCATTGACTGGTTGTCCTTTTCCCCATGATTATCTTTACTGGTACCATAATATGACAATGCCAAATACAAATATCTAGAAGTTTTGACGTCCATGCGCGGGCTAGATCATACCTTTGAATTTTCTGGTTAGATTTCACTTTTTGGCGTCATAGAGTTTGGTTCTTAGTGCCTCCGGGCAATTGGTCTAGTCTTTCCATGAAGATGTGTAGGTAGGTTTAGTAGTAACTCCTGTATCTAGTCGTCTTTCTTGTAATAAAGCTGTACGTTGACAGTTTTGTAGTTTTTAGTCAATTAAAAAGTTTTATAGAATGAAAATTTACAGAAATTTGGCAAGGGTGACTCCCACCCAGTTAAACGAGGCATGTATCAACGCCATTTGCAAAATACTTTGGAGAGTCGGAGAAAAGAAAAAGGCCATCCTTTGCCTCCCGCAGGACAAAGTTTACCTCCACCAATCCTTGGACTACTTTCAAGACGGAATAACTGAAAGGGTGAGTTATGCTTAAACCTAAAACAAAAAAATAAAACTTTAAACACTTATGCTTATTTTCCCAGATCCATATGTTTGAAATTGAAGATTTTGACGATCTTCAGATAATGGTAAAAAGATATTCGTATTTGGTAAGCATGAAAAGTATTTTTATTTTGTTTTATCGGGTTGTCCGGAAAATAATGCAGGATTTTAAGTTTTCATTAAAAAAAATCTATATAAAATATTCTGTTTACGTTTACAGGATTACTCATTTGTATGAATGTCAANTCAGACGGAATTAATAAGTTACCAACACGTTGGGAGAAATGTATTGAGAGTATGGGAAATTATTTTGATTAAAGAACATTGCTTTAAAGTAACTAGTTTATTTTTTTTTGTTTAATACCAAAATCCTGCATTATTTTCCGGACAACCCAATAGAAAGTCGGTTTGAAAATTGCACAACGAAATCATACGCTGTTGAATTTTCTTTCAGTTTTTAGACGATCCAGGTCCAGGTGCCATGCTCCTTCTGTACAGCTGTGTTACCACAAGAGGACCCGATCAGTAAGGAATTTTAATTTGTGTCCGTTATCATATGAAAAAATTAATCAATCATGAAATTATCAGTTATATATAATTAATGGATTTTTTGTTGAATTTTACACTTGATCGTTTCGAACGATGTTGAAGGTGCATGTTTGTATATGACATTCTTAACTATCCATTATATTTAGTGTTCTATTGACCAAATTGCTTCTTTCAATAATTAATGTTTTTATGTAAGGTATTGTTTGAAATGAAATTGAAAAATGGCAAAAAGGAGGGGAAACTCATAAGGTGGGGTTGAGATAGGGAGTTGGTGTCCGAGTGGATGGAAGTCATGATAGCTCAAGTGGTAGAGCAGCGGCGTATTTAGTCGAAGGTCATGGGTTCGAATCCCGCTCGTGACACTAGCCTTTTCATTTCAACCAAAACCTTACACACAAAGATGAATTAATCGAAAGAAGTCAATAGACCACTAAATATAATGGATTTAATAAGTAAAAGAAGTATCACTTCACTAACAGCTCCCCGTGACTACTTCATAAGTCGCCGAGAATCGAATCCTGATTACACGTCATTTGAAAAATGGCAAAAAGGAGGGGAAATTCGAAAGGTTGTAGGTTGAGATGGGGAGTTGGTGTTCGAGTGGATCGAAGTCACGATAGCTCAAGTGGTAGAGCAGCGGCGTATTTAGCCGAAGGTCGTGGGTTCGAATCCCTCTCGTGACACTAGATTTTTCATTTCAACCAAAACCTTACATAAAAAGATTAGTTATTAACTATACCATATTTTTATAAATAATATATAAATTTTAATATTTATCATATATTTCCTACATTTTTCTTTTTCTCACTACAGTAACTCTGCTGCAGTGGAAGACTTTTTTTGTACCTGTTCCCATAGTGATTACAGGTTTAATCATACAATTTACAATTGCGCAATACAAATACATACATTTGTGGTGTTTGTTTTCAAGAATAACTATGTTAGAATTAAAACGATTAACAATTAACAATTTACAAATAACAACACTTCAGTCAAAGTCCAAAACATTTATATAATTTATGAAACTGAAAATTTTGAAAATAACATTTTTCCTCCTTTTAACGTTATACTCCTTATAGTTTTTGCTCTTAATCGATCATGTAGATCACAGTAATATATAATCTGTTTTCATGTTTGCCGATCTTTTCCACATGGACAATCTGGACTGTCAATATCATGAAAATGTGACAGGAATGCTATATTCCTCCGTGGTCCGTCGACGCCTTCTTTGTCTTAACGGTACGCGTTATGCAGACTTTCATCCTTCTCTTGTACGGTGGGGATGTAGGTTCTCGTGATATGACCTTCTTTTGCTCCTGTCCTTATTTCATTCCATTCTCTGATACTCATATCCCTCTCAACTTTTTTAACACAAAAGAGTGGTATTTTCGAGAATCTCTTCGTAACATGCCGCGCAGCTTTTGCCTTTAATTTCCATGGTGTCACCCCTCGCATTTCCATGCCTTCACCCACGTCAGCGCTATGTCGCATTTTCCTTAGCTTCCGCATGCAGTTCCTAATGTTAACCGCTACCGGATTGTGTTTACGATGTTCTTTAATTATGGATAGGGAAACAGTGCTATCTGTTCTTATTGTTAATGAATTCGCCATTTCAAGCTTTAAAAGCCGTTGTAATGCCTCGTGGATCGCCTTTTCCGTCTCTTCATTGGAACACCATCCAATCTTTTTTGTCCGATTTTTAATCTCTGTTTCTCCTGTATAAATTATAACGGCGTAGCCTACCTATTTTTCAATGCGACTTCCATCGGTAAAGGGCTCAAAATCAGGATTTTCTATTTACTCTTTCAGCTTCCTCACCGGGCTGCACGTTGGCGGTAGCTCAGTGAAGAACGGGAGGCGTGTTGAACCAAATGTCTGCTCAAGTGGACAGTATCGATTTAAAATTAAACTAAAATAAAATAATTATAAAATTTAAAAAAAAAAAAACTCACCTCCGGTGACGATAGCCCAGCTATCTCAACTGAGGTAAAGGGGTGCAAGGAGGAAAATAGGCGGAAAAGACAGGAAAAGTCGGGACGGGGACCTTCACCACGCAAATGTCTCAGAAACTTCACCAACCGGAGCGATGACGACGATAAATTCATAAAATTAAGACAATAAACAAAATAAAATAAACTTCAAACTGAATCACGATTTGTATAAAATTACAAATTGCCAAAGACGACGACACAACGAATTCAAGACTCGATCTGGATCTGGACTCGACCACTTGGAGGGAGAAGTCATGGTCGGTGAGGGGGGTGCAAATTTATTTACAATGTTATGTTGAGCGCCACGATATTTAACACTTCTCTTGGAAAGCGTCAGTGGCTAAATTAGGTCTAAATAACACATGGTCAGCCTTCCTGCTCAAAGAAACTATCCCTGTTAAAATCAAGTATAATATTTTTAAGGCGATAAGTCGTGCAGTTCTGTGCTATGGCTGTCAAATGTGGGGATACCAGAGGTTTGAAGCAATAGAAAAATTGCAACGTTTTTTTGTAAGAAAGTTGTTCACATTGCCAACTGGTACACCAAACTATATATTATATTTAGAAACAACTTGGATTTAATTTTGATGTATACACTTAAGCTTCACTACTCCTATATTGTGAAAGTTCTGATGTCTCCCGATACCAGATACACAAAAATAACATCGTTGGTCATAAAGACTAATATTTCATGGTTCGCTCACTGGAACTGTTTGAAAAGTACAACTTGCCCTTCCTCATATCCTTAGACAACCTCTGTGACTGGCATAATCATTTTTCAATTCTTATTAATCAAATTAATAAACAACATCACGAAGAATGCCGGTCTCGTGTCCAAGCATCTACGCATCTCACACTTTACAAGGAGGTACAAATTTCTCCTGCATTGTTCGACCTAAATGAAGATAATTTTGACGGTCTTTGTCTCAATGAGTTGCTATGGCTATTTAAGCTAAGAAGTGAGGTTTTGCACTTAAACTCGGCTGTTTGGATCAGAGGGGAATTGGGAATCTGTTCTTTGTGTAATTCGCGCTCTATTGAAACTGTGTCCCACTTCTTGGCGGAGTGCTCAACCTGGGTGAGATTCGGTTGTTGCATCTCGGATGTTTCACTCTCCCCAGGGTTGACCTGTTACGGTTTTTGAGTGGCTCAAATTCGCGGCCCTTAATTCGATACGCTAGGCATGCATGGAATTACAGATATGAATTAATTAATGAGTTTAATTTTTGATTTCTTTTGTATAACCTGTTTTTTTGTTCTCTTTCGCATTTTGGCAGTTGTTTCTCCTTTTTTTTTCTTTTTATTGAGTAGGCTATAACTTTTATTTTATTTTATTGTGTATTTTTTCGTTTTTGATTGTTTAATCAACGACCTCTGGCAACGGATTTAAGATCCATGGCCTTAAATGCTATAAAATCTAAATTGTCTTTTTTCCTTTTTTTATGTTTAATAAAGCATTATTATTATATTATTATTATTATAAATAATTTGTATGGCTCCTTTCTCTAATCCCAATAGAGTTTGGCCAACTTTGCAATAGTATCATGTATCAGATGAGAAACTTTTTAAGATTTTTGCTATATTCCAAGTATTCCAAGTCCCTTTTTTGTCAAACCATACTCTAATTAAGCGTAATTAATCACGGTCATCTGTTTTCCCATTAAAAATGTGTAAGATGGCAGATTTTCTGGTTGAATTCCAATCGATTCTCAACTCTTCCAATCATTTTTCAATTAAGTACTTACTTCTATTTGCTTAAGTTAAGTTCATGCTCTGTTTGCGCCGGAATAACCAGGACTAGATCGTCCGCAAAAGCAAACAATAACCTGGTCCACTGTTTGAAACCTTGGGACACCACTTTTTTCCCATTGTTATCATTAATCAGGTTTGGGATGTTGTTGGGTATGTGTCCTTCAATTTTAACTTGACACTAATTGTCGCACCAAATTTGCGTCCTATGTCGTTGTAGAAAGGCATGTCTAGGGATGACCCAGCAATTTACGAGGTTGTTCAGTTATCGACCAACTGGGTATGTAGTCCTAGGATCCTATAAGACCACATACCCAATAACATCCCAAACCAGATTATAATCAAATTAATTAAGGTTTTTAGTTGAGATAAAAAAGTCAATGGCACGAGCGGGATTCGAACCCACGATCTTCGGCTAGATACACCGCTGCTCTACTACTTGAGCTATCGTGACCTCGATCCACTCGGACACTAACTTCCCATCTCAACTTTCCCCCTTTTGAATTTTCCCTCCTTGGTCAAGCGGACCACGAAATTAGTGAATTTAAAGAATTATAATCAAAGTTGGTCGATAACTGAACAACCTCATAAATTGTTATCATTGTTGAGTTTAGACGCAATGAAGCTATCCGTTCATTAAAATAATCTTTTGACAGTTTAAATAAATTATCTGGGAATTTGTATTAAAACCTACATTAATTTATTTTATAACTATAGGGTACTCAAGGATATGGATAATCTTAAGAGCCAGTTGATAGGCCCTGAAGAAGAAGGGTCTATTTGCCTCGTCACGCTTATTCTAACCGGCAGGGCGACTCCGTACCTCCACAACGGGGTAGTCTACGTCGGAGACGAGGACCATTACGTACTGTTGGCTATTTACTCGATTAAACCAACTCTGGTATAAAAATTCAATTGATTTCTCAGGCTACGGCCCAATGGGGGATTCTAAGCAGAAGCGAGATCGGCCTCTTGGTTCAGATGGATACCATAGACGCAGACAACGAATCTAATATTCCGGGTTCCAGGCTGAAGACACCTTCGTTGCCCGTTTGGGTCGTTTCGACATGCGGCCACTTCGGCGTCATGTTCAACACCAACCGAGAACTTCTTCACAATTACCATGCCGAGAGAAGGTGACAATCTTTCAAGTTTTATTTATTATAACACTTTTTCTGTTGCGGGTGTATGACTGCTAAAAAGCATTGGCAAAAGAGAGTAAGATTATATGGTGATTACGGGACACTAGGAAGCCGGAGCTTTGTACTCCCAAATGCAGACTTTTAACTTGTACTTTCCTAGTTCTTTAGATCCTTAAGAAAGTACTAGGGCATTGATGATGATGATGATGAATATGGATACTAGATAGTCGGGGTTTGTATTCCCGAAGCACTGCAGCCTGCTATCTTACTGTGTTTTCCTAGTTCTTCAGTTCAATTTAATTGATTCGATCCTTTTCTTAAGAAGTATTAAGACATTGACTGTTATTGATGCAATTCTTTTCCCTAGGTCTTTTGATAATACGGGAATAAATTTCTTCTTCCTCATTGTGTAACCTGAAAGTAGGGTCATCCGATTCGACCGCGAGAGGACAACTGTGACTGAGTGGTTTGCCTTGGCTCGTTATAAAAAGCTAGCAGGCATAACACATAAACATTTTTCAGGAATTAAATTAGCTTACTGGTTTCCTTGGGTTTTTCGTTACTGTCGAGGATGTATCCCCTGATTTTATTCAGGTTGAAATCTCCCGAGGCATTCGCAATATAGAGACAGGCGAGAGGGTGGACATGAGCAAGGAGCAATACCGCAGGCACGAGGCACGTAAAGCAATTCAAGGGCCATCCGCAATGCTTACAAAGGAATTACAGGAAGGTAGTAATCGCAATAGAACTAGGATCTTTGTTCGACTCCTGACTGAGTACTGTTCCCATAAAGGCCGAATAGGAGTACGGACAGAAGAAACACTGTGCAGGAAAAGGAGAAGAGAAGACCGCAGAACACGTTTCTGTGAGGATGTAGGTGTAGACTCTTGCAGCTAGCAGAGGAATGCCGCAAACAAGATCCTACACAAAAGAGTCGCTGGCAAGGTGCAGAATGTATTGTGGCCACCTCTTTTATCCATACCCGTATTCCCATCACATTGACACTCCTGGCCTATATAGTTTAAGTCCGGAAAGGCTATTAAGGTGGCCATTCACGATCACTCCAAATGGAACCGCGCCAAGCCGTACAGCTCCATTTGGAGTGCCTGAAATTTGAGGGGCATTCACGACCGTTCCACAGCCAGTCGCTCCGAACCTCAACCAGTGAATTACCTTCTCAAAATGGATGACGATCTCTTGAGCTACTCTTCTGTTTATTTACATATTAAAAGCAAAAAATCGAAGAGGAAATGGTGTAAGAAGTGGCTCCTGAACAGAAGCCGTAATACCCATATCAATTTGATGAAAGATCTTTCCCTTGAACCCGCTGATTGGAGGAACTATTTAAGGATGGATAAAACGTCTTATTTATTCATTATATTTAGTGGTCTATTGACCAAATTACTTCTTTCAATTAATTAATCTGTTTTGTAAGGTTTTGGTTGAAATGAAAAAGCTAGTGCCACGAGGAGGATTTGAATCCATGACCTTCGGATAAATACGCCGCTGCTCTACCACTTGAGCTATCGTGACTTCGATCCTCTCGGACACCAAAAAAATGACAAAAAGAGAGAAAATTAGAAAGGTTGTAGGTTGAGATGGGGAGTTGGTGCCCGAGTGGATCGAACTATCGAAGTCAGGATAGCTCAAGTGGTTAGCGCAGCGGCGTATTTAGCCGAATGTCGTGGATTCGAATCCCCTCGTGACACTATTTTTTCATTTCAGCCAAAACCTTGCAAAAAAAAAGATTAACGTCTTATTTATATTTACTCCACCTTGTTACCCCCTTGATTAGAAAACAAAAGACAGTCATGAGAGAAATCATCACTACATGAAAGGTTACGATTTCTCGCTACAGGGATGAACTACATAGAACTTAAGTTCTCTACTACGATTTTTGATCATTGTTAGGGGTTATCAATACCGCATCTCTCATTGCATTTGTATCCTTTGTTTTGAAAATGTCGACCAACTGGTTGAGGATCGAATTTCTTTTATTTCTATCGTGGTAATATAATCATTGTCCACCACTTTCATAAACATGGTAAACTTTCATACAATTCAATCACCTCAACAATAAAATCCCAATTGAATGTCATTGCCAATAAAGAATAAACGTTTTTGACTTTTTGAGAATGTACGACAGAGATGTTTGCTGGATCATGGATGCTGCTCCACATCATGGAATGAACTAATGTACGAGTCTTCTCTCATCCTCAGTACAACCGACGCTCAGTTGAGAAGTCGATGTGCCACAGCTTTTGTTGTCCGAGAGACCGGGCCAAGTAATATTCTCTGTTGAAAAAATAGACAAATGGAAGGATGTTTAATTCAGAAAGAAAAATATGAGATTTTTTGATGGAATACTTTGACACTCACTCTGATCCAGGGTTCTAGTTAGTACATATTGAAAGCTGGAGGTATGAGAAAAGAGGGTCAATATTTGCAGAAAAGATGAAATGTCGAGTGTTTAGATCCATTGGGAGATCAGTTGTGTAGAATGAGAAAAGAAATGGAACAAGTTTGCCTCCCTGGGGGACACCAGCTAAAGCTAAAGCTGTATAAATAAAATAAGAAGACCTTGGATGGCATTTTCGTTCCTAAGTTATAATAGGAAGATGAGGTAGTTTGTGAACGCATGCTCTTGTGCTTCCATATAGAGCGTTCAAATTCCAGCTGATCAAAGACCTAGGCGGTGTAAAGCATGAAGATGCGTATGAACGGCGGAGTGGTAACCGCGGAATCCACGTGATGTACATTCCAGGCTTCCATATAGCCTTCAATGGAATTTATGGAATACCTTGACCCTGATCCCGGGTTTTAGTTAGTACATATGGCATTGAAAGTCGGAGGTAGCAGAAAAAAAGAGATCAATATTTGTAAAAAAGATAAAATGTCTGTTCAGATGCATTGTCGATCAGATGTGTAGAATGTGAACAGAAATGGTGCAAGTATGCCTCCCTGGGGGAGGCCAACTAAAGCGGTATAAATAAAAGAAAAATCCAAGGAAGAAAACCCTGGATGGATGACGTTTTCGTTCCTAAGGTATATTTGGTAGGATCCGGGATGTGGCCCAATTTGGATTAGGCCATATCCCCGATCCTACCAAATATATTGTTGAATAATAGCTGATCTATCGACTTTACATCATTCCTAAAGTATAATAGGAATATGGAGGTAGTTTGTGATCTTTAAATCCCTGCTGATCAAAGACCTAGGCAGTATAAAGTTTGAAGATGTGTATGATGGTCGAACGGTACCGCAAAATCCACGTGAAGTACATGCAGAGAAAACGCTTTTTATGCATAAGCCCATTTAATAACATAGTTAAACGTTATAAATGTATTTAAATTTTGATTTTACATTAAATTCAAATTTTCAGATTCGACCTGAGGTATATCACTTGTGGTGGAAGCCAAAGTCAACTGACAGTCGATACCCGGCAGACGTCCGGCTCTTCGATGATACACAGCGAAGAAACGAACGTCACCCCGATAGCGAACATTGAGAAACTCATTCAAACAAAGTAAGTTTATTTTTTATTGTTTTAATTCATTAAATCATTCTTGTAATATTTATAACCGTTTACAGGTGGCCTGATGCTCACATCACATGGCACGGGTCGACATCGATGATATAAATTACATAATCAATTATTAACTAATAAGCATAATTAATAAACAACTAAGTTGATCATTGTTTGTTGTTTTATTTATAAAAAAATGGATATTTAGATTCAATGTACTACGAGACAAAGGTATTCAGATAGCAATACGTCATGTTCACTTAAACGTTACTGGTACAACAGAAGTCCTGATTTTGACGGATTCTATGAGCTCCCTGGAAGCGATTAGTTCGGACAAATCAAAAATTGGGACAATAATATTAAGTTCATTATATTCACTAATTTCGTGGCCCGCTTGACCAATTAAATCATTACAATCAATTAAGGTTTTTAGTTGAGATGAAAAATGACAAAAGGAGGGAAAACTCATAAGGTGGGGTTGAGATGGGGAGTTGATGTCCGAGCGGATCGAGGACACGATAGCTCAGGTGGTAGAGCAGCGGCGTATCTAGCCGAAGGTCGTGGGTTCGAATCCCTCTCGTGCCATTAACTTTTTTTCATCTCAACTAAAAATCTTAATTAATTGTAATAATATTAAGTATATCAGGTAAAAAGTGTTTTATTTTGGATCCCAGCTCATAGTGGATTATTGAACGGCCGGATTCCCCAAGCAACCCGGGATAGAATGTTGTCCAACATAAAAATGTCTTTTCATGATTTCTGTCCTATAAACAAAAGTAGAATTACAAAATTTGGTAGTGTCAATACAGTTAAAAAACGAGAAAGCGGATGTCTCTTCAAGAAGAATGGGTGCTATACAGCTTATAGGATCCGAACCCTTCTGTGGCATAGGAATGCACACTCTCCATGGGCACCTCAGATACAACTATAAAAAGAAAGTGAAGGAACAATAAAACTCACTCATTGGACACAAACAATCTAAACACCTAACAAAATTTCTGCAAAGAAGCAGGGAAGACACCAACATACCTACTAACAAACTGTGATGCTACACTTGCCCGCAGGAGGAAATGTTTTGAGACATACGACATAACCGAAGAAGAGATTGAACCACTGAAACCGGGCTTACTAATCAAGTTCCTTGATGAACTAGGACTTACCGGTTTAAGCACAGAACGGGGGATACAATAGCTCTTAAGGGACTCAGTATAATACTCACCCCGTCTAATATATCTACATCTATCTATTTATAGTTAAAAATGAAAAAGGGTGATTAGTACGTAGGTGTTCTCACGGATTTCAACTACGTGGAGCATTTAATTTTTTAGAATTTTTATCCTCCATTTCTTCACCCAAGCATCAAGGACGGTACGATGAGATTGTAAGGACCGGACGGCAAGGACGGATCGCAAATGTGAACAGGGAAGTTTTGTGGTAAGTAGGGATGTATATTAAGTAGAGGATTGGTCCACACTATCTTGGGGGGCAGCTACCTGTACGGGATGGATGGTGAATGGGAAGATCCGTATGTTACCTAGAAGGAACGGTCGCCAAGATACGAGTAGATGCCAGACCAGATCGAATGCTTGCGAAACGTCTGAGTAATATTTTTTTGCTCAAAGGAGGATGACGTCTAAAACGTAGGTGGCAGTGTTGAACTGCAGAGTGCTGATGTCGGACTAACGACAAAAATCATGTAAAATAGTTGCCTATTTTGACCTAGAATGTAGATGTAAGCGGACGACGGCGCGGCGGCCGAATAACCTCTCAACACTCGCTTGCTTTTGTCGAAGGGACAAAAGAGGAGTCGGCGTAAGCGCGTCGCTACTTATTCTTGCGTAGGGGAAGGTAAGGTTCTAGAATTCAATAAACCAGTGAGTATATTCCTTAACATTTATTGTAACACAATTCCGTCTCTTAACTGTACCCAAACAACAGAATCTTAATCAATCTACAAGTTAGCCACAACTCTAAATATGGGATGAGTCTATTAACAGAGGGACTTCCCCCGAACGACGCTCGCCACGATTAATGTCCACAGCACCCCCAGCTCCCTCTGTTCTCTCGTCCGTCGACTTGGTTCGGTGGGTCGCAAAGGCTGATCCTCGCTGGCTCTGGCTGGCTGAGTTCCGTTGTTGAGTCCCAGACGAAGTGCGGTTGCTTCTGTTCCGGATCGTCTCTTGGAGTTGACTGTTCACTCCCTGAGGGTGAGTCTCCGGTTTTGACTGACTGAGGTAAGTCTCTCTCTGGTCTTGACTGAATGGGGTGTCTCTGGTTTTGACTGACTTTTGATTTCCCAGTCGTCCCTTTTTATACCAGTTTCTCTACCGGAGTAGGGGCGGAAAGGAAAATCAAAAGTCGGAGGAGTCTCTCGACGCGGGTGAACCGGCGAAGGCACATGGTTGACGCGACCCCAATTTACGATGTCCCACGTCGCTACATATTTTTGACTGTATGACAACCCTTCAGCACTAAATAACTAGTCGATAGTTATTTATTTGATCGGTTGTCCAACTATTGCAACTTTGTTCTCCAGGTTCGTGGAAAACTTGACGTGGTTCCAGTCTGGGTCTGCGACACCCTTCTACGTTCTTATCTATCTGTCCAACAATGTAATTATTTTAAAGTTATGTTTGCCACATTTGAGCGGGACGTCACGTCGTTCCCGTCTTGGTGATCGCCACTTCAGATTTACAACCTTCGTTCCCTATCATCGTTTACCCTAATTTTTTCTTATTTTAACAACTATAACTTATCCCTAAGATAGATATATCCAGGATAGATTTCACTGTTGTGAAAAATTTTAATCAAGTTAATTATTTATTTTATTTTAACTAGCGGACCGATTGAATCCTCATGGACTACGTTTTCTTCTTTCTCCAGGTACACATATATTTTCATGGTTTACATGTACACCTTCCTCTTCGGATGAGAGGTCAGAAAACTTCACGTGCATTGCAGATAACCAAATCGCAGAATCTGTGACAGTTCAGCCGACTGCTGTTAATTTTTTGCTATCTTTTTTTTTAATAATTAATTTTTTTGCTGTTTATTTTAAAACTTTATAATTTTTATTGTATGTTATTGAACAATGGAATTTTACTTATTAACGGAACGTTTTCGACCTCATGAGTCATCTTCAGTATTAATTTACATTTGTCTATCATAAAAAAAATCGTTTTGTTTACATTGGTTTTTCAATTTTTTGCATCAGTTTTATACTCGAGCCGTATCAATTAAGTTATTTTTTAACTAATTTTTCTATCCTTTTATTTATTTTTTTAAAAAACGTTTGCGATTGTGCAGTACACCTCCAATGATTGAGACTTCGCTATCGTAATCGTAAATTATTGTTAAACTTTGTCTTTACTTCCCTGAAACATATCTTCCCGTTGCTGAGTATGCTGGACACGCATGATGTGCTCCAAAATTTCCTCTTCGTCAATTTCACACCACTTGTCCTCATCCAAATTAATTTTCTTTGGATATGCTTTACATATTCCGTGGTTAGATTTTAACCTACTGGCTATCCTGAACTTTTTTTTTATTAACAATAGTCCCTGAAGGGGACATCGGTGGCCGCAACGGTTTAGGCGTTGACACGGCGCTCAACACTGTAAGGTAAAGGTCCCGGGTTCGAATCTAGCGGCCCTGCATTCGAACCCGACATACTTACAAATGGGCTTTTTTTCAAAATCACCCGAGGGTTGATATAACCTTTGCTGTTGCGAACCCTCGTAAAATTAAAAAAAAAAAAAAAAATAATAGTCCCTGAAAACGGAATGATACGTTGAGGAACATCCCTTTATAGACCAAACCTTTTTCTATTTCCTCATACCAACGTTTCTATCCCTTCACATTCGGTTTTTTTCAGTACACAGTATAAATGTATTCAGTATCCATATAAATGTATAAACTCCCTCTGCTGCATGTAGCCTACATCGCAAGGTCTACCTGCTCTTTACCTAAGATCCCGCAATGCACTGGAATCCCCGTAAATTCCACTCTCATACAATTATCTTGAGCATTTTTTAACAGTCCTTTAATTTCCAAGATTTTGTGTTACTAAAGTAATCAATTCAACCAATCCAATCCAACTTCTACCATCTGGCAAAATGACTCGTACCGGGTTCGGCTCTGAAGATTTTCTCAATTTGGAGATCGTGAGATGCGGTCTGGTGTGACGTAGGTTTTAGAAAAACATTTTCTTTATCGTGCCAACGTTTCGATCTTTATTGAGATCGAATGCATTTTCTTTTTTAAGGATTGTTAACATTTTCTCTCTTATATCTTGTACATAAATCATACCAGCATAATTTTTTTTGTACGCAATATCTTTAACATTGTTATTATTTTTCTTTAAGTTACCATAATGATTTGGTTTTTGTTTTGCAATTATTTTTTCTAGTAATTTTTTGGGGTAATTATTTGCTGTAAAATTGTCCGTATTCATTATATTTATTGGTCTATTGACCAAATTACTTCTTCAAAAATACAACTAAAAAGTGGCAACTCTTCACAAAAACGAGAAGACAGGAAGTGCTACTATGCTACCTAAGGATAGGTCACACTCGATCCTTGGGACTTGGCCCCATCCACCTTAATATATATAATAAATAATAAATAAATGAATAAAAATTAAAAAATAAATAAAAATAAAATATTAATAATTAAAAAGGTAATATATATATAAAGTGGAAGGTTTATGGGCCGACAAACAGCTGAGGTCATCGCCGGCCCTCCGCATGTATTCCTTCCCTTTCCTGTATTTCTCGCGTATTTTGTATTGAACTGCAGCCATTTGAGCATCTCGATCTGGTTACTGACTCTCTGCTTTTACTTGTATATTACGTCGTTATTTTAAAAAGCTAGCCTCTTGTTAGTACCTCAGGTTGTCAATTTAAGAATAGATACACAACATACAATACATAACATATATATCGCCACAAACATAGAAGTCTGGTCACATTCACTCCCCCAGAGTACTCGATATTCCTCGGGGCGGGGCCGAACCCACTCCATTCGCGCTAATAACTTACTTTTACTCCCCAGACATCACACACTCACCCCAGAGTACTCGATATTCCTCGGGGCGGGGTAAATAACCCCTTCCTTTCACGCAAATAAATTACATTCATCCTAATGTATTAACATAAACACGACACAAACACGACACAAACACTTCAGACACAACACAAGCACAGCACAAACACACATAAGCTATATACATTTGAAGAAAGGTAATAAAAAGAACAATTAAATAAGCAGCTACAAATAACAGATCAATTTCCTCTCCGTCCAGATGATATAGTCTTTTATGTTAAAAACATTATCAAACGAAAGTTGGCGGCAAGATGGAATGTCTGTAGAGATAGTATGAAAGAAATTAAGCCAGTTGTACATAAATGGCCAACTGAGGAACTTGAGAGAAAAGAACTTGTGATTCTCTCTAGATTGCGACTAGGTCACATCCATAAAGCTGCTCGTCCATTGGAACCGAACTACGACGGCCGTTCAACAGCCGAACTATTTCACCAAACGGACGACCGGCAATATAGCCGAACGCCGTCGTCCACTGTAGCCGATTTTCGTCAGTTCATGACACAGCCTAAATGGATGTAGAAGATTTGTTGCTGCTCGAAAATTCTTAGTTTACTTACAAATGGAATGAAAGAAATAAACAAAAATATTGGAAGTTCCATTTCTAAAGCTATCCTTGACCACAGCTTACGCTGGACATCTCTCCGATGATAGAGTGGATCACGCATGTCCCAAGAGCCTGCTCCTCAACCGCGCTTATCAATTTTTCACAATCCATCGAAATGAAAACGAAACGAAAAGGTAAGCAAAAAGCAAAGAACAATGGTGAGCGTTTGATGTCTCGTGGTTGACAGTTGAATTCGAAGTAACCATTCGGCCGAATAGGACTGGAAAATCCAACTTTATTTGGATCGGAAAGTGCTTCGGCCGTACACGGCCCAACACGACCGAACGAATTGGTTCTAATGGACGCGTGCTCATTAGTTTCTTCGCTTTTGGATCATCCGGCCCTATTCGGCCGAAAACGGCTCCAGTGGACGGCCTACCTAATAGGCTTTTAATAGGCAACAACTTTCCAACTTGCTCTCGATGTATGCGAAGTGGAGAACGTATCATTCTGACTGTAAAATATATTTTGGTCGACTGTCGCACTTTGCAACCCTTTAGGGGCTCAACCTTTCGAGTGATTTACAGGAGTTACTGGGTCCCCAGTGTTTCTTTTGAAGAGCACTTTTCAGCTTTCTCAAATTTATTGGAATTTATAATGAGATTTAGGTCTTTTCGCAAATTGTTATACCATTGAATGTTTGCCTGCTAATGTTTGAATGAGAATTGTGCGTGCAAGATTTCTTTATTTCCAGACATTTTTGAGGCTGCCGGGGCAGAAAAATGAAATGTAAGAAAATACAAATTGCGGGGTAATAAACTGGAAAAAAAAAGGATAAAGGATAAAGAAAAAGAAGTGTTATTGTGTTTTATGTCTTATTATTGTTATGTAGTATTAGTTTATCATATTTGAATGGAAGAATAAAAGGATAAGGATGAGCCTATACTCATGCTGAGACTGTTGCTAGTCTGACTCCATTATTAGTATTACTACAATTAATTAAGGTTTTTAGTTGAGATAAAAAAATCAATGGCACGAGCGGGATTCGAACCCACGATCTCCAGCTTGATACGCCGCTGCTCTACCACTTGAGTTATCGTGACCTCGAAAAACCTTAATTAATTGTAATATATTAATTGGCCAAGCGGACCACGAAATTAGGGAAAACTCATTGGACATAGGCAATCCTTCTATTATCTTCACCAATTTTGGCAAGAAAGAAATCACAGAATGTGTCAAAGGAAGCAGGAACAGATTGCGAATCCTAATAGGATTCCTAACAGGACACTGTAGATTAAATGGACACCTAAAGAAAATTGGAACAATCCAAGATGGCACATGTAGATTCTGCAAGGAGGCAGAAGAGACACCAGCACATTTACTAACAAACTGCGGAGCTACACTAGCCTGCAGGAGAAAATGTTTTGGGATGTATAATGTGACCATAGAAGAGCTTCAACCACTAAAACCGGGCCTATTAATCAAGTTTCTTGATGAAATAGGACTCACCGATGTGCTTTAGGCCGAGAACGGGGGATACAACAGCTCTTAAAGGGTGCAGTATACCCTGCAATTATATCTACATCTACATCTACAACTACATCCTCTCTGTATGGAGCCAAGGAATTGCACCCTTCAATTAAGTGGGACTCATCGAGCAAACTTTCAGGAGAATTCCGGACACGTACTCGGGGCTTTGGCTTTTAAAGTGTCCGTGTGTCAAACTCACACGGCCTATTCTTAATCTGGTGGGGACAACCCTCCTTCTGCGAGTCAGATCCTCCAAGGACCACCCATTAACAGTGCTCTTGATACATGAGAGCTTCTCTGTCGACCCAGCCTATTTGTAATTTCATTTTGTATAGTTATATACTTTTATTTCATTTTTCTATTTTATTTAAACTTTCAAATTACCTTAGCTTACGCTATTAACTAATTAAAAATAAGAATCTTCACTGGGATAATATAAAAAAAAAGACAAATTGATAACACCCTTATGAAATATTTCTTTTATTTGGTTTACAGAACAATATCTTAATATACCCCAATACCACAAACAAAATAAATTGGTATATGTGAAATTTATATATATTATATACAAAAATAGTTGTATCCACTGTAGTTATATACATATTTATATATAGAGTTATATTACATGGTTAATGTACATACAAGTATGATAATAATTAAATATATATTATTACAACCTAATTTTTTTTTTTAATTTCAATAATACATAGTCTAATTATACCAATAATTAATAATTAATTATACAAGCTTTTTATTTCCAAACTATTATATATAATCAACGTTATAAATAAAACATAATTATCTCATCTAATAAGTTGAGGTATGAAAATGGGGTTTTTTTGTTATTAAGTTATATTTTATTTTATAATATACATTGAAACTAGCCAGAAGCGCTAGTTATATCGTGTCAGCCTGTTACGCTTTTACTTCAATTATGCGAATCATTGTCAATAAATATAAACACATTATCCTTTCAAAATTATCGTTAAAGTTCAAATGTTGAGTAGATTTCTTCATTTGTCATCATGGTACAAAGCGTCGTGCATAAAATGAACCATGAACTAATAAAGACTATAAGGCGCGGTTTTTCTTGGCTTAAAAAGAAAAAAAAAATTTTCTTTCTTATTTGCTTTTATAAATATTTCGTTGTAAAACAGATAAATAAAAACTACAATCTTCACATGGCGGTCGATTGTTCTCGTTTTATGCCTAGTTATATTTTGCTAAAATAACGTCATAAGACAGTGTGTAAAATTTGTGCTCATTTAATTTTTGGTTATTTTTCTAATTAATTACTACCAGACACACAACGATAATATACATCACTTAAAATTTTTTATTTCCAAGACGCCTATTCGACCGTAAATTATACCAGCTATTTATAAAGTTAGCACTCTCTAATATCTAACAATTTCATATTAACTTAATTGGAGATGTGAATCGTAAGAAGACAACACTCCAGAAATCTAAAAAAAAAAAAAAAAAATTAATGTGTATAATTTATTTATTGTCAATACTGAGTACAACTTCGTTAATGTGTTCAAGCTTCTAGTTAAAAAGAAGAAGAAGAAGAAGAAAAAAGAAGGTAATTTAATAAGTAAGTAAAAAATAATTCAATTTTGTGCACGATTGTTTAACAGAGAAATATATGTATTTTGTCATATATGTCTTAAGCTGAAGTAATATTAATAACACATTACATTAAAAACATATTCATTTTAAAATTGACTTAAACTATTTGTGATGCCATTGAGCAATTTTTAAGCAGTCAAAAACAGAAAGACTAAACACTCGATTTAGTCGCGACAGCCGACTGTTTGATCAAGGCTGATTCGTGCTATTTCATTCTGTTGATGACAAGGTCTGGCATAATTATCAATCCCTTTTGATAAGGAGATTCCGCGATGGAATTGGCCAAGCGTAGGGCCTCGTTGCAATGCTTTTTCGCGAGAAAGCGTGTCTGCTCGAGACCCTGCGATTTGTGTACGAGTTCGAAAGCTTTTTCGACGTCGCCCGGCTCCTGGAATCTGCGCATGATCATCGGATTCAATTCGGGGTACTAGAAAAAGAAAATTTTCGATTAGGAAATTTTTTTCTGAAAAAAAAAAATGAAAAGACAGAATACCTTTTCACATGCGAACAGGACAGGCGCAGTTGCAAGTCCTAGTTTTAGATCCGTCGCTGTCGGTTTGCCCATCGTATCAGACGAAGAGACAAAATCAAGAAGATCGTCGACGAGCTGGAAAGCTAGGCCGATGTTCCGTCCGTACTGGAAAGCCAATTCACACAATTGATCATCTGCATTACAGAGTAGTGCAGTCTGCAAAAGAAACGATCAATTAGAGGCCTTTATCAAATTCTATTCATAACAATTTTGAAAAATAAGACAGACAGATTTCAACGAATTGGCCATCAAGCTGGCCGTTTTTCTGTACGTTTTGGTAAGGTAGTGAGCAAATCTTTCGTTTTCTGTTTCTTTGGCGCCGAGTTGCATGAATTCTCCTTGGACTAAATCTGAAATAGCCTATAACAAAAATTAGATACATTTGATTTTTTTTTTAAATCCTTTTTTAGTCTAAACCAGTTTGAATGGTTAGAACAGAAACTTTAGGAGATAAAAATACGCAAAAATTCATGAAAAATATACCTGGCTAATAGTTATTGTTACATCGCAGTGGCGAATGTTTGCGAGTATCATCGAAACAACCGCTATAATGAAGTCACCAGTCATAGCAACCTGAAATAATTTAAGATATGAATGAATGGAAAAGTACTTTATTCAATGAACATATGAGAAGAATATTTTATTATATAATTATAATATAAAAAAAGCATTCTACAGTTAAGATTTACAACTGTATGCCAGAAAAAGGGCAATAATTTTTAAAATAAACAAACCAAATGAAATTATCATTTTGTACGAAACTGACTTATTCAAGGGATCTCATTAGTAACTTTAAACGTGGACAGGGAATTAAGAAATTATTAATATAAAAGAGGATTTACTGATTTATACAGGGTGGATTTGGATCAGTATGATTTTTTTTTTAGGAATCTTCATCGAAAATGGAATAGAATGTCGCTAGAGCGAATATCCAATCTCTGTTCAATATGGACTTAGATTGTTCTTGTGTTTTTCAAAAACAATATAAATAAATTAAAAAAAAAAATCGGACCTTATGCTATAAATCGCATTTTACCTAATATATTCGCAGTTTTGACTCTTTTTTTTTGGGGGGGGGGGGTGATAAATTTTTCTACAGGACTACACCACTTTTATTCCTTTGCGCCGCGCTTAAATTTAATTTATAACAGAATAAATGTAAAATTTATCAGAAATCCGGATTTTTCGGAGGAATTCAAAAATTTGCCTCTCTTTTACAAATAATCTTACAGGCTGTCCAATCACACAAAAATTTCTTCATTTAATAACCTTTCTAATGATGTATGCATTATTGTGATTGATAATTCTTTGGGAGGAGAAACCAAACTTCAAAGGTGAAAAAACCATGGTCTCGGTTGTTGGAAGGGGGTGGAGTAGTTTATTATGTTCTCATTGTTTTTCTTTCTTTTTATTCTCATTTAACAAAAGATTTTTTTTTTAATATATAGATATTTATGTATACATTCTCTAACCAGTTTAATCTTTCTCATTTTTTTCTTTAAATATACATTTTACATTTGTAAATTTTTTATTATGTTTGTTACTACTTATACCTTGTGAAAGACCTGTCCCATTATTATTCTGTTTTATGCTATTTTAATGTTGGTATATTCTATTTTTTAACAATTGAACTGTTTTTTCTATATATGTCTTTTTACAGTTACACATGACTAAACATACAACTATAGAAATATACATTTTATCCTTAATTTTACATAAAAGTGGTAAACAATTCCATATTTTTATTGTCCATATGCTGATACATCTTGTACATTTCATTATTATCTATTGTTTTTTCTTTTTTAAGGATTGTTAACGTTTTATCAGTTATAACTTGTACATAAATCATACCAGGATAATTTTTTTCCCCAATATCTTTATCATTGTTATGATTTTTCTTTAAGCTACTATAATAATTTAATTTTTGTTTTGTTATCATTTTTTCGAGTAGATTTTTTTGATTATTTGCTGCAAAAGTTTTTGTTAAAATGTTTATATTATTGTTATGAAATCTAGTATTTTTTAAAATTTATTGTTTACAAAATTATAAACTGAAACTAAAATTAATTTTTTGTTTTATTGGATGTGATGAATAAAAAAATTAATATTTTATTGGTTGTATTTGGTTTTCTATACCAATATAATATGAACCTTTTTTAATTTCTTTTAATTTATACGTAAAAGGCACATTTTAGGGAAGTCCGCTGGTATGTTCATATAATTTACTAATACAATATATTTGAAAATTAAAAACCAATTTAAATAAAGATTTTAAGTGTAGGATAGAGAATTGTAAATTAACAACGAAGAGGACTCACGTCATGAGGTCATAATCGTTTTGTAATTAACAATATTTTAAAAAACACAAATTATAGGAATATTTTTTTTTAATATCTTGATGATACAATATTTTAAATAATTAAGGACGTTTAATTAGAAAAAGTTTTACAAGAATTTAAGTTTATAATGGAAAAAGTAAAACAAAATCTTATCACATTTCTATATATAAAAACTATAAGAAATCACAAAAAGTTAATATTAGATTGGCATAAAAAAAATCAAAAACAACCAATAGAATATTAAATTTTTATTCAACACATTCAATGAAAAAAAAAATTAACAGTATAATTTCAAAACGAAAATTTTTCAAAATTAGTGATATTAGATTTCATAATAATAATAAAAACAATTTAAAAACTATTTTACAGCAAATAATTACTCCAAAAACTTACTAGAAAAAATAATTGCAAAACAAAAATCAAATTATTATAGTAACTTAAAGAAAAATAATAACAATGATAAAGATATTGAGAATAAAAAAATTATGCTGGTATGATTTATGTACAAGGTATAACAGATAAAACGTTAACAATCCTTAAAAAAAGAAAAAGAAAGATTAAATTGGTTAGAAAATGTAAACATAAATATCTATATAATAATTGTATTGAACTGAAGGTCACGGGTTCGAATCCCGCTTGAGGCCCTGCCTTTTTCATCTCAACCAAGACCTTATATAAAAATAATAATTAATTGGAATAATTAATATTGTCAATTATGACCAATAAACATAAATGGATTAATATAATAAGTAAAGAAATAATCACTTCACTAACAGCTTGCCGTGGCCATTTTCTTAAGTTGCTGAGAATCGAATCCTGATTACACAACATATGGAAAAAGGAAAAATAGGGAAAATGCGAAAAGTTGTAGGTTGAGATGGGGAGTTGGTGTCTGAGTGGATCGAAGTCATGATAACTCAAGTGGCAGAGCAGCGGCGTATTTAGCCAAAGATCGTGGGTTCGAATCCCGCTCGAGACACTCTTTTTCATCTCAACCAAGACCTTAGATAAAAAGACTAATTAATTGGAATAATTTATATGGTCAACTATGACCACTAAGAGATAAATGGGTTAATATAATAATAATGTTAATTTCCAGAAAAAAAGTAAGGAAAAAATTTGTGCACAATATATTTAAGATTAAAAACCAAAATAAAAAAAAAGATTTTTTATTGGATAGACAATTGTAAATTAACTCTGAAGAAGACTCATGTCATGAGGTCAAAATCGTTTTGCCAAAAAATAAAATTTTATGCTGCAGTACATGTTCAATAGCGTACAATACAAATAACGTCTCAGACAATCTTGATCCGCCCGGTCTCGCTGGTTTTCTATGTAAGACGTGTTTCAGCGTTCATCATTAAAGCTTAGGTGTGAAAAACAAGGCCAGCGAGATTATACTGATCGGAAACAAAGTAGACAGATTAAGTAACGAATTTTTGAAACAAAAAGGGCCGAATCGATGTAAAAACGGGCGAACAATTTCCCAATCCCGTCAATTAATTTCATCCTTGACTCATTTCTGCTGAGAATATAAATAATTGCTTTATTGCGTGTACCCTGGGGACAGGGTGCGAGAAATGCGAGTGGAAGGGAGGAAAGAGCTGTATCGGCTGAGTCGATGGGCCGGAATGCGACCCGGTGACACGGTTCAGCCGTGCAGTTTCACTCTCCCGTCTTTTTGTACCGTTTCACACACATCAAAGGAATGTTGAATGCGCAATTCACAATTTAACGGTAGCCGACCTTTTAGTTCTAGGAAATTAAGGCAAAAGACGAGAGAGACAAAACGAAATCAGTCTGTCCTCCATTTACAGTAGTGACACCTTAACATCTCCATTACATTTTGAAGGATACGTTTCTATCTGAAGTTTTTTTTTTTTTACTTGTACGAAGAAGGTTTGAGATTTGAAGAAGCGTTACAACATTCAATGAGAATCGAGGTAATCGTCTTCCAGTCCTCGTTTCGAGAAGAATTTTTATCTTACTTGTAGTGGCTGGTAATGCTGTATCATCAGTCAGATCTATCTCAGCTGGGGTACCCCAGGGATCCGTTCTGGGACCTATTTTATTTAACATATCTATCAACGACTTAACTAAAACGAAAACTAAATGTTATGCATTGTACGCAGATGATGCATTCTTTATCTCGTCATACAGATTAGAAACCATTGCCTCATAGCTTTCCTCATGGAGGACTTACATATGTATCTTTCCTTCCTACACAAGCCTTCGAACCAACAGACATCTTCTTCATGGCAATATCTGCACAGGCTTGTTTCTGCCACTCCGAGCCTACAGGTGTGCCTCTGGAGTCTAAAGTGTCCAGCAGATCAACTATTCGAGTCCTAGATCCTAGATTTAGCAGTTCTGCTATTTTCTGCTATTGTCCTTGGATGGACTTTTTCGCATGTCTCTGTCCTGGTCTACGTTCCCATAAACAGAGGACTTATTTTAACGTTTCAGCATCTTCTGCCATTTTCAAGAAATTTTTATTTCTTAAGTTACAAATTTTTAAAAATTGTTAACTTTTCAAATAAAGTTGAAGACAGAATTACAAAAGAAAGTCATTTTTTATGTTAGAGGGTCAATTGTTGCTTCTGACCTTACCAACACTTTATAAGTAGTAGGCAGTGAATGAACTTGTCATGTTTTACAGTAAATATGCTACAAAAAAATAATATAAATTTGTATTTCAGTTTTCGTCTGAGGCCATCTTTCAATAGTTCTCAAGAAATGCTTCAAATACTTTCACAAATGGATCAGACCCAATGAAACTTAAACCGAAGTTTAATAAACGTTAGGACAAATGTTAATAGATTTGTTGTTGTAAAAGGCAGAATACTCCCTTGGAAAAAAAGAAATGAAATATCTAGGGGTAATTTTGGATTCAAAATTAACATTCACTAAGCACGTTAATAAAGTGTGTGACAAGGCATTGGGTATAATCTGCAGTTTATTCCCTCTATTAAACAAAAACTCAAAGCTTAGGAAAACAAATAAAAAATTAATTTATTATCTTTACATTGTATCACTACATGAAGCTCCGGTATGGTCAAACACATGAAATACTAACTATTCTAAGTTACAAATAGACAAAAATAAGTGTCTAAGATGCATGTTTTCCTATCAAATTTAAATGTAAAGATCATCAAATGGCACTCATGCATCGCGCACATTCTCATAATCTTCCTCACGCATTATCCTTAGTCAAATCTCGCTCTCTTGAACGCA